TGAAGGAGTTACCCTATAAGCTAGTAGCCTAAGATGAACTATCTGTACAGCTAAAAAAATATCTCATTCTTTTGCTTTTCATCATATACCAATGACAGTACATCTCCGTTTGAAGTGTTTTACAGAGCCGTGGCCCTCAGCTCGTTTTGGAGACCCAAACCACTGACATCACTGAACCTGGCCGTAGACCTAATTAGCATGCCACTTGAGCACCTGAACTTATTCAGACGAACGTTTCCATTATTATAAGAACACGTTCAAACAAGAAGCTAGATTACTTCTCGCACTTAATGCACTTATATTCAACTTCCAGCCTTGCTGTGAAAATACAAGCAAAGAGCATGACTTAATTACATCACAAAAGTTGACCCAGAACAGCAGTTGTGATGTGCTTGAGAAGCCAACGTGGAAAGTGGATTAGTTATTATGTCATACAAATAAACAAAACGTCTAAGCGGTCCGTAGAATAAGGTGGATGCCCGAATCCGTATACACGGGTCCGCTCATTTCACCGGGCCGGAGTTGAAAGGCTGCATCTTCGAAGGGTTTCTGCATTTGACCACGGCCGAAAAATCCTAAGTCACCACCGTTTTTTGCAGAACTGCAGTCACTGTATAGTGTGGCAATTTCGCTGAAGGTCGACTTTCCTGAGTCAATATCAGTCTTATAACCTGAAAGACAAAGAAAATTAGTGTTAGAAGTGCTGCAACTGTGAAGATGCGTACCTACAAGAAACATTTCTTCGAGGCGAACATACCATTGAGAATATCCAATGCCTCTTCACGGCTTCGGGTGATGTTGGGACTGCGCCACGACGATGGCCGCCGGGATCCGGAGTGCTTGACAAGTATATGACTACAACGCACTTGCTCACTGGAACCCTGGGCAGGTTGCGTAGGGACTTCCCATTGGGACTCGTTTGTCAGGGTATTGACGTAAAACGTTTTACCTGGAAGTAGAGAACAAACGATTGTCTAACAGCTGTTACTATAAATGACTGAGCAACAGCGCAAAGGTCTTATTGCATTTTGGTGCATAAGACTGAGAGACAATGCAACTGACCGCGGACATGTCTCGGCGGACAAGAGGGCGGACACATAAC